CAATGACAGTACGTACCGAGCCTTCCTCGTTGAGGCTTTTAACTACGGTATTGGTGAGCTTCTCCCAGCCACGATCCTTGTGGGAGTTGGGCTGTCCTTGACGCACGGTCAACACAGCATTGAGCAGAAGGACGCCCTGCTTGGCCCAGTTGGTCAAATCGCCGTGTTTGGGGGGCCATTGGCGAGGGGGTTGGGCGGAGGCCAACTGATCAGCACAGTCTGACGAAATCTCCTTGAACATGTTCACCAGGCTGGGCGGCGGCCGGGTCGGCCGCTGCACTGAGAAGGCCAATCCGTGGGCCTGGTTGGGTCCGTGGTAGGGATCCTGACCCAGAATAACCACTCGTACATTCTTCGGCTTTGTCAGCTTGCTCCAGGAAAAGACCTACAGGCAGAGGGTACCACCAGTAGAACTTGTAATTGTCATAAGCATGTAAGAGCTTAAGCGGTCACTCGTTAGGTCAGTCTTTGCAAACATAAGGAGAGGTCGTTAGTTAGTAATAAAGAGTTTTTGCCGAAAAAGACGACGGGGGTCGAAATAGCCGCCAAGCTTATGTGATTTTATCATTCAGCAGTAACCATGTTATTGGTTGGAAAGACCCGCTGCAACCGTCCGCCCATGTTGACGGGTAATCAATTATTGCTACTAACTTTTGTTAGTAGATAGTTTGAAAGAGTTGAATAATTCATTCAATCGAATACAGGCGAAAATGCGAGTCAAGGAAGAAAATTAGAAGAAGCAGATGTGATGGCTGGGAGCAGAACTCTATTCGCCTGGCGCTTCGGGTCCCGTTATGGATCCATCGCCAGAGACAATAGTATCTGCTTCTTCTCATCTGACTCACTTGTGAAAAACTAGGTGAAATTCGAACTCATGCCAGCAAGGGGAAGGTTAAAGTACGGCCAACGATCTAGCCAGCCGAACTACGAGCCGGTGAGCTTAATCACACTTGGGTCAATTGATTGGTTCAGCTTACTGCAGGGAATGGAATCCACTAAATCTGATGCAGTACGAAAGCCTCCACCAAATTATTACCAGGCACGGTTAATTAGTAGAGTTCGTGGCAGATTTGAACAACGTGTTCGACCCAGTTGTAGAATTTTTTGTTGGTGAGCAGAATCTTTGGTATCTGCTTGCCCATTGGTGAATTCCGTTGGTCTCAGCTCTTGGCGGTCGGCTATCGTGATTAGGACCTCAGACGACCAGGTGTTGGTCGTCGCACAGGACTGCTGAGTTCCTACACGACTTTTTCTGGCATTGC